CACCACGGTCACTGCTTTCCCTCTGAACTCTCCACAGGACGCCACACTGAAAGAAGACTGTTTCTCATGAAAACTTTGGTGTCCAACAATCAAGTTGCCAAGTTTAGTCTTTTTGTTATCACTTTTTCCCAGAAGCACGACCCTGAAGGCAGAAACTGAAACACAACAGAGAACAGTTTAGCCACTGACACTTAATCCACATTTGAACTTTTTTTACTGTCACAGAAAACTCAGAAGGTGACACTTAGAATGAAAGACATTGTCTACCAATACAGCAGCAGGACCTCAGTGTTGGTTTAGGTGTTAGAAGGTTATGACAATGAAAATCACAGAAATTATTTTAGCTCTGACCTTCACTATTTTTCATTCCCAGATTAGGTGGAGTCAAAACAAACAGATCTAATTACAAATGATGATAAAAGACATCCAATACAACTAATATAACCTTCCATTGTTCATCGGCTCTTTACTTTACAGTTTTTCTCGATTGTTTACACACAAATATTGGTACTTGAAACACAATGACCACAAAATGTAACTCATGCACCAACCCCCTGAACCAATTCTGCTAAACTACAAGCACAATTCCTGCTTTACACTCAAATTGCAGTTCTAAAACACACTTTTTCCAAAACTCTACACACAACTGTCATGAAGAAAATCTTTTGTTTTCACAAGGAACACACTGTTATTCAAAACTCTAAAGTTAATTGTCAATTGTGTGTAGAGTTTTGGAAAAAATGTCCAAAAGTGTGTTTTAGAACTGCAATTTGAGTGTAAAGCAGGAATTGTGCTTGTAGTTTAGCAGAATTGGTTCAGGGGGTGTGGAGATATAGCAGTTGATGCTTTTCATGGCTGGATTGGCCATGCTAGGCGATATTTCCCCCGCTGCTTGGCCAGGGAAAACATTGCTTGTGATGTAGATGAGGTGCTGTGGCCAGACCGAAACAGAAGAGAGGATGCAGCATAGTTTATTTTTTTTTATTTTTTTATTATGACTGTAACTGTATACAGTAAAATCTTCTGCACTGTATGTGCAACTTTGTGTCGGTTGGGATGTACACTGTGTACATTGTTTTGTGGGAAAAATAAAACATGTTTGTTACAGTATATTTGTGTGTTCTGAGTATAAAAACAATATTCTAAAATATTTTACAACGCACTTATGTATTTAATGTCTGTAGTAAGTGTAACACTGAACAAAAAGTCATTATGATGAATGGAGAATAGTGTTTTACACTGAGCACATCAGTGTTTAAATGCTTTTTTTAATTGTCTGTTCATATGATAGTTTGTGTGTGTCATCTGAACACAAAATGGCCTTTTGTGAAGAGATAAAACTGTTTTGAATGTAAAGTTTCATTTTGCAGGAGAATTGAAGGGTTTTGCCCATTGTGTGTGTGTTTGTTGGATTTGTGTGTAGAGTTCTGAGAATACGAGGCATGTTTTCAGAAATGTGTGTAAACAATCCAGAAAAACTGTAAGTAGAAATACTGACATCAGTAGTATTCTCTTATTGTGTAAAGATTGTAGAAATAATGCTTTCTGTTGTTGTCCATGTACAAGTTATGTTGTGGATGGGGCATTTGTGTGAGTCATAACATTTTGGAGATCTTAAATACAGTGGACAGTGATTAATGCCTCAATACAGCAGAGGAAGATGGTCAGGAGCAGGACACAAGGAAGAGAAAAACAAACCAAGAATCTGGGAAAAAAATAATGTGCAAAGGATAACAGAAACAAATCTATACAAATAAAAGAACTAAAACTGCAGAAAGAGCTCCACAAAACCAGCATAATATAACTATTTTCTATTATAAAGATTCAAACTTATGATATTTTTATTTATCAAAGAAATTACAAAAGATTTAATATATTTTTAAATAGCTTTTTTGTTGTAAAGGTAAATTTAGAGAAATTATCAATTTAATTCTTGATGAATTCACTCACCATTTGAGGAGGAGTTTTTTTCAGAGGGTGAAACTTTAATTCCTTGGATTCCTGTGAACATTGATGTGAAACTTAATGGGAGAACAAATGGAGAGAAGGTCTGAAAGATAAAGTCTACACACCTGCATCCATAACAGCTTCTACCAGACGACCTGCTGGTCTCAGGTTCTGATCATCAGCTGCTGAAGGGGCTCTGAGGTCCTCAGATGTGTCAAATACTTCACACATCAGGTGTTCTCCATTGTTCTCTTTAACAATCTGATCAAAGCGTGTCAGCAGCTCTGGAAGCTCCAGGTTCTTCTGCACCACATATCTGTATCTACTTTTTCTGATCAGCTCCTTTAGTGGAGGCTGCAACATGAGTCTCTCCATCCCAGCTGAACGCTTTCTGGGCGGCAGCATCAGAATCAGTGAATGATCGAAGGATCGTTCACTGAATTTTTCCAGAACTCTACAGAGGCTGTTTTTGTGATTCTCAGTGAAGCCTTTAGGCTGCACCACCAACAGGAACACATGAGGTCCAGGATGAGAGGTTTTCTTGCAGGCTTTAATGAACTCTGTCATTTTGTTATTAGTGGAAACCGGTGGATCTGGAGTGTTGATGACAGCTATCTTTTTCTCTGATTCCAAAGTTCCACTGACTCTCACACAGAACTGAGGTTCTGAGTTAAAACCCTTCACTCTCAGTATGAAGTTCCCCACGTCTCTCCTCTCAGTGCAGCTGCCTCCCAGCAGAACAACCCTCAGCTCAGACACTGAGAGATAAAACAGAGAGATACCAGCCAGAAATGAAAGAACTTTCCATTCAGGATTGAAATAATCTGTTATCATTACAGTTCTGTACAGCTGGATATGTAGTGGTAATACAGGAGGTTGGGGGTTCGAATCCTGACTGGGGCCCCCAAAGCTAGGCTCTGCATGCCTCCCTTAAGCCATTTTACTTCTTAGCACTGATAATAGTTCATTCTGTCTTGTATCTTGTAGAACGTTTCTAAAAGCCTCTGAGCCTGAATCCCACTGAGCTCACCTCCTGCAGCAGCCATGATGTCCCTCTGTGAGCTCAGAGCTTCTCAGCAGCAGAACAAACGCTGGTTTAAACCATCTGACAGAAGAGATCACACACAGATAGAAAATATAAGCAGGTTTTATTAAGCTGCAACATTATCACACAGACTGATAAAGAACTTTGTGCTGATTCAGGATCCCAAACCGCCATCAGAACATCCATCCATCCATTATCAATACCGTTTATTCCCTGATGGGGTCGCGGGGGGAACTGGAGCCTATCCCAGTGGTCAACGGGCGAGAGGCAGGGTACACCCTGGACAGTCCGCCAGTCCATCACAGGGCCACACACAGAGACACACAAGGACCAACAACCACTCACATTCACTCCTAAGGGCAATTTCCCCAATCTCCAATCAGCCTAACATGCAGGTTTTTGGAGGGTGGGAGGAAGCCGGAGAACCCGGAGAGAACCCACAGACACAGGAGAACATGCAGACCCCACCCAGAAAGGTCCTGGTTCCCCCAGGATTCAAACCCAGAACCCTCTTGCTGGGAGGCGACAGTGCTAACCACCACACCACCGTGCCACCCCAACCCTCATCAGAACATTTTTATTTCTATTGTCCTGGCTGTAGTTTGGTCTTTTCACCACAAGATGGAGGTGTTACGTCAGATTAATCATTAACATTAACTTGTTTTTATATGGAGAGTTTCACAAGACTGACAAGCTTCCAAGTTTAATTAGATAATAAAGAATGACAATTAGAAAATTACTTACTGACTGAATATAGGAAAAGCTGGAGATCAGAGTCTGAAAACCTCTGAGCAGGAAATAAGTCAGATATGTTCACAGTAGGACTCTGCCTCACCAGGTCAGCAGAAAAAAATGCTGGAACCAGCAACCTGACAAAAGAGAAAAGTATCTTAAAGTCTAACGGATAGTCAAAGATAATGAATAGAAACAGGTCTAATTAAGTTAAAAAATATATATATATAAACATAGATATCTGCAGGGATCAGGAGTGTGAGTTTTCAGGTTTAAATAAAATACTTCAATAATTTTCATATACTTCAAAAAAGGAAAATAGATTATCTATTTTAGTTAAATGTCCTAAAATTGCATAGTTACATGGTTCTGCAGCATTTGAAAAGAAAAGGCTCAAATCCATGAAAGCTACACTTTACATTATAAATTACATCTGGAAATAATTAATCTATATTTGATATTACCTGAAATTTTCACAAACGCCAGCAGTTTCCCATCAAGTTAGACCCGAGCAGCGTTGTGTACCCAGAGATTTTCTCTCTAGAGAACAAATTTATTGAGTAATCAGAACTAAACTCTGACAATTCATTTTGCTGCTTGGTTATAAATAAAGGTTACAAATAATTTCCCTCTGGGATTATTAAAGTATTTCTGATTCTGATTCTGGTTAAGCCTAAAAGCAATGTGAAGTTTAACTTGATGACAGTTTATCTTTAATTTTAGTTTTAGGTTTATATTAGGCTGCTTAAACGGGAAGTAAAAGCACAGAGAGGCACAAGATGAAAAGTCTGAAAAACTGCTCTAAAATCTGATGAATGTCACACCATTTATCTCCATCGACAATTAATTTAACCTCACGCTAAAGTTTCATTTGTTGATTTAGAGATCAGTTCTTTAAACTGAATCGCCTTCAGACAGAGTATCATTTAGTTGAGCTGTTTTTAAATATTTCAGTTACTCACCAGAGAGCTGTACTAAGTAGCAGGTTTAATGGCTTCTCAGGGTAACTTTGAGAAATACTTGATCACCAGAGGAGTAACTTCCTGACTAACCTGTTCTATGAAAGGAGGGAAGGTTTTGATCAAGATGTGCTGCCATGGCAACTTACTCCACCTCTCAAACCTGGTCAAGCAGGTTCTGTTCTCAGTTCATTTGAGCTTTCCACTTAACGACGTCCTTTATGAGCACCGCCCCCCCACCAAGAATAATGCCGACATACCTGGAAGATCTGTGTGATAACAACACACACTCTGAGGGTCGCTATGAGTAGAGCCAGAATCTACATAAAAGATATACAGTGCCCTCCACAATTATCTGCACCGCTGTTTAAGAGTGGTTGAGGACTTCTAAAAATTCTCCATTTCTTTTAAACAACATAGAAACCAAATGCAAAAAAAGAGAAAAATCCAACCTTTTATTTTAGTATATATAAATAAAATCACACATTTAGAAAATAAAAAATATGAAATCATGTGTCCCACAACTGTTGGCACCCCTAACAGTTATGCTGAAAATTTGTATTGATTTCCTTTAAATATATTTTTCTGTAGTTGCTAAAGTTGGTCAGGGTATCTAGGAACTTTTAAGTAGTAATTAATGACTTCCTGTTTTCCCTAGGGTATAAATATGATGTGACACAGAGGCCTAATTCTCTTACAAATAAGTCAGCATGGCAAAGACCAGAGAAGACACAATTCAAGAAAGGCCAATGTGTGTCGACCTTCATAAATCAGGCAATGGCTACAAGAAAATAGCCCCTCCCCTTAACTTGCCCGTATCTACAGTCAGAGGAATCATCAAGAAGTTTCAAACATCTGGAACAGTGACAAACAAGGCTGGAAGAGGTCCCAAGTTTATCTTGCCACAGCGCACAGTGAGGAGGATGGTAAGAGAAGTAAAAACAAGTCCTAAGCTCACTGTCACAGAATTGCATCAGAGTGGAATCTTGGGGTCATAAAGTCTCCTAAACAACCATCAGACACTCTTTATATGCTGACAGGTTGTTTGGGGGGCATGCAGGGAAAAGGCCTTTTCTCAATAACACTCCCAAACGTAAATGTCTGGAGTGTGCTAAGCGGCTCTGGGACTTCAGATGGGATGGTGTGCTTTTGTCAGATGGGACTAAGATTGAGTTTTTTGGCAACAAACACTCTACGTGGGTCTGGCGTATAACAAAAGATGAGCATGCCGAAAAGCACCTCATGCCCACCGGGAAGTGTGGTGGAGGATCTGTGATGCTGTGGGCCTGTTTCTCTTCCAAAGGCCCTGGGAACCTTGTTAGGGTGCATGGCATTATGAACGCTTTGAAATACCAGGATATTTTGAATAAAAACCTGATGGCCTCTGCCAGAAAGCTGAAGATAGGTCGTCATTGAGTCTATTATCAGGATAATGATCCAAAACATGTTGAAAAATCTACACAAAAATTCAATTCAATTCAATTTCAAGTTTATTTCAAACCTGCACACATTTTAGAATACATATAATGACAAACAATACAAATGCATGGCTTGAAAAGGGGATGGAAGAAACCAAAGCTTATGCGTGTCCAATCACATCCCGGTCATCCCAGGGACACTCACCAAGACCTGTAAAGAAAAAACAAAGACAAGACAAACAACACATCCACACTCATGCATACAAGACAACACACTGGCCCAACGCTCCCCGTCCCTACAACCCCCTCCCTAATGGTTCAGCAGTCACAAACTCAAGGTCCTCCCATGTCCCCAGACCCTAACCCAATCGAAAACCGGTGGGGTGAGCTAAAGAGGAGAGTGCACAAGAGAGGACCCAGGTCACTGAATGATCTAGAAAGATTGTGCACAGAAGAATGGTCACTGATCCCTCTCTCTGTGTTTTCCAATCTGGTGAAATGTTACGGGAGGAGATTAAGTGCTGTCTTGTTGGCAAAAGGGGGTTGTGCAAAGTATTAACATCAGGGGTTCCAATAGTTGTGGGACACATGATTTCACATTTTCAATTTTCTAAATGTGTGATTTTATTTTTACCACCAAAGTAATGTACTTACATAAAAGGTTGGATTTTTCTCTTTTTTTCCAATTGGGTTCTATGTTGTTTTTAATAAAGGAGTAATTTTAGAAGTCCTCAACCACATCATAAACAGGGGTGCCAATAATTGTGGAGGGCACTGTAGATGGTCAGCGGGGGGAATTCACTACCTATATCAACTGATCAGGCCAGAAGTCTGTGATGTTACACATATTCAGCCCTCTCCATGAAGCTGATAATGTGCCTTATCTATAATATCTTATCTACAATATCTGCATTCCATTTGTGATATTAAACATTTGAATTTAAAAAAAATCATAGCATCCAATTCTGAATATACTTTTAAGAAATTATTTCTGATCAACGTGGTGTCATGTTTGTTTTGCTTACTTTGTGAGGACCACTAATCTATATTAACTCTCGACTGAGGACCTTTTGCAAAGTGGAGACATAGTGGCCCAGAGATCTCACTGTTTTGTTTTAGGGCCCCCATTCTGCAGGTTTTGGGTGTTTCTCTCTTTGAAACACATCATGTAAAATTGTAGGAGAATAGAACTAAATGAAAGTGAAAAAGGTAAAAAAAAAACAAAAAAACAATGAAAACAAATCACTTTGACTTTTGACTTATCAATAGTAACAGCAGGTTTGAATCCCAGTTGTCCAGTCAATCACACTGAAGGAACTTATTGGTGACACTTGCTACCCAGCAAAATGATCTGTGACAGTTTGGATCTGATTACACAACAAATCAGTAAATTTATTCTCTAGTGAGAAACTCTCTGGGTTCACATTACTGCTCGTGTCTTCCTCAATGGGAAACTGCTACCGTTTATGAATACTTCAGATTATATCAAATACAGATCATTATCCAGATGTACTTTATAATGTGAAGTGGAGCTTTCACATTTTTTAAGCTTTTTCTTTTGAACTGTTGCAGTCTTATTTAACTATGTGATTTTCTGATGTTTAACCAAAGTAGATGATATATTATCCTTTTTTGAAGTATGTTTTGTCATGTTCCTGGTGAGGTAGAGTCCTACTTTGAACATCACAGTGAATTATTTCATGTCCAGAGTCTTTGAGAGTCTGATCTCCAACTTTTCCCATATTCAGTCAGTAAGTCTTTTTCTAACTTTCATTCATTATTATCCATTTAAACTGGGCAGTGTGTCAGTCTTGTGAAACTCTCCACATGAAAAACAACTTAATGTTGATGATTAATCTGATGTAACACCTCCATCTTGTGGTGAAACAAAAACTATAAAAGTACAGCAGGAATTTAAGAAATAAAAACCTCCTGCTGATTTGGGAACATTACATACATACATTTAAGTTTCAATATGGAGAGAAAATTAAATACTTTCTTACTTTTTCTCTTTGGCACTGATTTGAGCTGCATGATAATAAAGGACTCATGATGCAATACTTATATCAGAATATTCTAGGTGTAAATGGAAGGCAAACGTAAATAAAAGACAAGAACTATAAAATTGCCAAAAAGAAACGTAGCATAATTTTGTTGTTAGCAATTAAGGTTTTAATTTTTCTTTATTGGCGTACAATTTTACACGTGTTCTAAAGAGGGAAACACCCAAAACATGCAGAATAGCAGGCATTGGACTTCTAATATGAGATCTCTGGGCCATTATGTCTCCACTTTGCAAAAGGTCCTCAATCGAGAGTTAATAAATAGTAGAGGTCCTCACAATGTAAGAAAGAAAGAAAACATGCCACCAGACACACTGGTCTATAAGAATTAAATCAAGTTGGATTTGGAAGCTTTGATGATTTTAAATGACTAATTAGTATTATTATTATCATAATTACTTTAGATTTATGGACATTTGTGAATGATCACTTATATGTCATATGTCATTATACGTCCTTGTGTCATTATAACATGTAATTTCTACACTTTAAAAAGATGGTTCATTAGAATCAAACTATTTTTATCCTTCGTTTAACCTTTAAAGTTCAACAGTTACAGATTTAATTTGAAGGCTTACATGGAGGTCTGTAGAACCACCTCACAGAACAAAGGTCCCAGGTTCGAATCCCAGCTTTCCAGTCAATCACACTGAAGCAACTTAGGACTTGTTATTCACTTTTCAATAACTCTGCAGTGACTTGTGCTTTAATCTCCTGTTTTTTTTTGTTATTGCCAGTTTTACTTTCAAAACAAAGGTACTCTGCTCATCTCATCAACACAGAAGTGGACATTTAGGAGTTTGAAACCAAACAGACCAATGACGGCAGACACCCACTTTTTGAACGTTTAACATCAGGAAGGAAAAAATGTTCAGCAGGTTTCACAAATGAAACAGGTTCTTTGTCCATTCAGCTGTTGGGTCAGAGCAGGAAGGTAAACCCTCTGGACTGGACAGACCGGAGAGGACACAGGAGGACTTCACTCATGGGGGTGTGAGGGTTGGTGCTGTGAGCTCTGCTGCAGGAAAACACCACACGCTCTGTTCACTCTACAATGTCTGAAGCCAGAAAAATGCATTACAGTAACTTTAACTAACTTAAATAAAAAATGTAGCGAAAAAATAAAAAACATAAATAATTTTTAATAATTCTGGTTGGGAATTGAACCATTTATGCCACTCAGTTTCAGTTTTTCCTGTTGAGCTTTGAAATGTTCAAAGGTTTACATTTTTTCGGAAGAAACTAGAGTTCCTTAGTTTTGCCATAAACAAAGAGTAAAGAAAGTTTTTCTTCAGGGGATAAAGTGGAGGGTTAAACTTCCTTATCGAAATTAGATGATCTATTTGAGCTTTTTAACAATGTGACAGAATTCATGGTCTATGGAGATAAACACTGACAAAAATCAGATTTTGGAGGTTTGTTTCAGATTTTTGCTTCTTGAGACTGGTTTTACTTCCTCTTTCAACTGATAGACGCAGAACTGAAAACACATTAAGGCTCAACTCTTTATTCTCTAGTGAGAAAGTCTCTGGGTTCACCCTGCTGCTCATGTCTTCCTCGATGGGAAATTGCTACCGTTTGTGAACATTTCAGGTAATATCAAATATATCAGATGTGCCTTATAATGTAATATAATGTATTTTAAGCTTTTTCTGTTAAACTGTTGCAGATTTATGTAACCATATGATTTTCTGATATTTAAGAAAAATAGATGATCTAATCTAGTCATGTTTCATTTGACTTAATTTGCCTGTTTAGTGGCGCTGCGACTCAACTGGTGAGTTATTAAAATATTTTAAAAAACGATCGAACAAATTAGATTCTGTCTGAGGGGAATTCAGATAAAGGAACAGATCTCTGAATCAACAAATAAAAATTTGGCAAGAGGTCAAATAACCAGGGAGCTCCGATAAAAACAGGTTTCACAGACCAACGGTAAAAAGTTCCTTTGAATGGTTTTACAATTTTCTAGATAGGCTGAATTTGATGTCTTTTGAACATTGTGTCAGAATTAAGGGTCTATGGAGATAAATACTGTGACAAAAATCTGAATATTAGAGATGTTTTTCAGACTTTTCCCTCTTGTGACTCTATGGTTTTACTTCCTCTTTAAGCTACAAGACGCAGAACTGAAAACACATTACGGCTCAACTCTATTCTCTAGTGAGGAAGTCTCTGGGTTCACATTGCTGCTCATGTCTTCCTCTATGGGAAACTGCTAGCGTTTGTGAACATTTCAGCTAACTTCAAATGCATAGTATTATTTCCAGATGTACTTTATTATGTAAAGTGGAGCATTCATGGATTTTAAGCCTTTTCTGTTAAAATGTTGTAGACATTGATTTTAGTTTGATTTTCTCAAATCAAACTGAACTAAAATCTCTAATTTCCTTTTTAGAAGCATATAAAAATTATATGCTAATTATAATTATATGAAATTATCTAAAGTATTTGACCTCCACACCAGTCCTGCACATTTCTATGGTCATTTATTTTTACTTAATTAGACCTTTTTTCTATTAGTTAGTTAGACTTTAAAATACTTTTCTCTTTTGTTATGTTGCTGGTTCCAGTATCTTTTTTCTGCTGGCCTGGTGAGGCAGAGTCCTACTTTGAACATCACAGTGAATTATTTCCTGCTCACAGGTTTTCAGACTCTGATCTCCAGCTTTTCCCATATTCAGTCAGTAAGTCTATTATTCATTCTTTATTATCCAGTTTAAATGGTCAGCCTGTCAGTCTTGTGAAACTCTCCACATAAAAACCAGTTAATGTTGATGATTAACCTGACGTAACACCTCTATCTTGTGGTGAAAAGATAAGACTACTGCCAGAACATTAGAAATAAGAATGATAATACTTTGGGATCCTGAATCAGCACTAAGTTCTTTATCAGTCTGTGTCATAATGTTGCAGCTTAATAAAACCTGCTTATATTTTCTATCTGTGTGTGATCTCTTCTGTCAGATGGTTTAAACCAGCGTTTGTTCTCCTGCTGAGAAGCTCTGAGCTCACAGAGGGACATCATGGCTGCTGCAGGAGGTGAGCTCAGTGGGATTGAGGCTTTTAGAACCATTTTTAAAGATACAAGAAAGAATGAACTATTTATCAGTGCTGAGAATTAAAATAGTTTCAACATTTGGGTAATGGGCTATTTTAAAGATTCATAATGTTACCGATGTCATAATAGTTTTTAATTGATCCTCTAAATGATTTCCATTTGTCTTTACAGATAAGAAGCCTCTGAAGCGCAGAAACAGCTATCAACGCCTACCACCTAACAGTGAGTTTGTCTGAACTTCCTCTAAGAAATTCCTCTCAAAGTGCAGCTGCTGCATACAGTTTATCTGATCAAACTTTATGCATAAGATGTTTATATATTTAGTGTATTTAGAAGTAGTTTTTACCCAAAGTGCCTTAAATGCAGGGCCTAGCTTTGGGGACTGGATAGATGCCCTAGTCAGGATTCGAACCCCCAACTTACTGGGTTACCACTACATATCCAGCTGTGCAGAACTGTTAAGATAAACAATTATTTCAATCCTGAATGTAAAGTTCTTTAATTTCTGGCTGTTATTCTTCTGTTTCTTCTCTCAGTGTCTGAGCTGAGGGTTGTTCTGCTGGGAGGCAGCTGCACTGAGAGGAGAGACGTGGGGAACTTCATACTGGGAGTGGAGGATTTTAACTCAGAACCTCAGTTCTGTGTGAGAGTCAGTGGAACTTTGGAATCAGAGAAAAAGATATCTGTCATCAACACTCCAGATCTGCAGGTTTCTACTGTGGACAAACAGTTCATTAAAGACTGTGAGAGAGCCTCTCATCCTGGACCTCATTTGTTCCTGTTGGTGGTGCAGCCTGAAGGCTTCACTGAGAAACACAAAAAAAGCTTCTGTAGGGTTCTGGAAGGATTTAGTGATCGATCCTTTGATCATTCACTGATTCTGATGCTGCCGCCCAGACAGCAGCGTTCAGCTTTCATGGGGATAATCACACTCCAGCGTTCAGCTGAGATGGAGGATCTCATGCTGGAGCCTCCACTAAAGGAGTTGATCAGAAAATGTAGAGACAGATATGTGATGCAGAAGAATCTGGAGCTTCCAGAGCTGCTGACACGCTTTGATCAGATTGTTAAAGAGAACAATGGAGAACACCTGATGTGTGAAGTGTTTGAGGACACATCTGAGGACCTCAGAGCTCCTTCAGCAGCTGATGATCAGAGCCTGAGACCAGCAGGTCGTCTGGTAGAAGCTGCTATGGATGCAGGTGTGTAGATTTTATTTTTCAGACCTTCTCTCCATTTGTTCAGCCATTAAGTTTCACATGAATGTTCACAGGAATCGGAGGAATGAAAGTTTCACCCTCTGTAAAAACCTTCTCATCCAATGGTGAGTGAATTCATCCTGGATTTACAGACAGAAGTGGATGTGTTCTCTAAATCTAGTTAACTACAAAAAAAGTTTTTTAAAGTGAATTAAATCTGTTTGATTGTTACAATATTGAAAATCTTTGATGAAGAAAAGTATCAGAAAGTTGACTCTTACGCACATACAATAGTTCTATTATGTGGTTTGTTGACTTTTTTCCAGGTTAAGTACTTCCTGCTGTTTTAGTTCTTTTATTTTTATGGAATTATTTTATTATTCTTTGCACGTTATTCTTACCGTGCCAGTAAAAGATGCTCAAATGTGGTCAGTGTCTAAAGTGTTCTGTGTTGTGTTTCAGTTTCTGCCTTCAGGGTCGTGATTCTGGGAAAAAGTGATAAGAAAAAGACTAAACTTGGCAACTTGATTGTTGGACACCAAAGTTTTCATGAGAAACAGTCGTCTTTCAGTGTGGCGTCCTGTGGAGAGTTCAGAGGGAAAGCAGTGACCGTGGTGAAAACTCCTGACATGTTCAGTCTGTCTGTGGAGAACCAGAAGAAAAACGTAGAGAACTGTGTCAGACTGTGTCCTCCTGGACCAAATGTTCTGCTGCTCTTAGTGAAGCCTTCAGATTTCACAGAGCAGGACTTAAAAACTCTGAGGTCCATCCTGAGTTTGTTTGGTGGAGATGCCTTCAGACACTCACTGGTCATCAGAACACATGAGAAGGAAACCAGCAAAACCTTTGATGAGCTCCTGAAAGACTGTGGAGGGAGACTTCATAACATGTTTGAGGAAGATCTGGAGCTGTTAATTGGGGTGATCCAGAGGATTGTGGATACAAACAGAGAAACATTACCTTCAAATTCAGAGCCCCTCCTGACTGAGAAACAAAGGAAACCGGCTCTGAACCTGGTCCTGTGTGGGAGGAGGGGAGCCGGGAAGAGCTCAGCAGCCAGGGCCATTTTAGGTCAGACAGAGCTTCTCTCCAGCTCATCAGAGTGTGTCAGACATCAGGGAGAGGTGTGTGGACGTGTGCTTTCTCTGCTGGAGCTGCCAGCCTTGTGTGGAAAAGCTCCGCAGGCCGTGATGGAGGAATCCTTCAGGTGTGTCTCCCTCTGTGATCCTGAGGGCGTCCACGCCTTCATCCTGGTCCTCCCTGTGGCTCCCCTCACTGATGAAGACAAGAGGGAGGTGGAAATCCTCCAGGACGTCTATGGCTCTCAGCTGAAGGACTTCATGGTGGTTCTGTTCACTGTGAAGTCAGATCCTACAGATCCAGCTGTTGTTAACTTTGTAGAAGGAACCAAACACATCCAGGAGCTCTGTCAGAGCTGTGGAGGAAGATCTCTGGTTTTCAACATCAGGGATGGGCACCAGGTCCCAGAGCTGCTGCAGGAGGTGGAGAGGAGGGGACTTGAAGCAGGTTATACAGCCAAAACATTTACATTTGCTCAGATGGAGAGAGTCATCAGGCTAAAGGATGAAGGCCTGAAGACACAGAGGAGCATCTCTGGTAAGCTGTTCTCTGACATGAGTCTGTAAAACTGGAGCACTTGATGCTCAGCTGACGTCTCATGGAAGCTCTCTCTTTGTTTCCTCCCACAGATGTTGAGCAGCAGAGCACAGAGACTCTCAGAATAGTGCTGATCGGGAAGACCGGCAGCGGGAAGAGCTCCTCAGGAAACACCATTCTGGGAAGAAAAGAGTTTAAAGCCAAGTTAGCTCAAATGTCAGTCACCAAAATCTGCCAAAAAGCCCAAAGTGAAGTGGACGGCCGTCCTGTTGCTGTGGTCGACACTCCTGGTCTGTTTGACAGTACTCTGTCCAATGAAGAGGTCAATGAGGAGCTGACAAAATGCATCAGCCTTCTGGCTCCAGGACCTCATGTGTTCCTGCTGGTGTTACCGATCAGCCGACTCACTCCAGAGGAGAAGGAGACTTTAAAACTCATCAAGAAAGTTTTTGGTAAAAACTCTAAAAAGTTAACCATTGTTCTTTTCACCAGAGGAGACCAACTGGAAAAAGACGAGATTACCATTGAAGAATACATTAAAGAAGACTGTGATGAATCATTTAAGAAGCTGATTGCTGACTGTGGAGGAAGATACCATGTGTTTAATAATTATGACAAACAGAATAACACTCAGGTCAGAGAGCTGATCCATAAAATCGACACCATGGTGAAAGAAAACGGAGGAAGTTTCTTCACCAACGAGATGCTGCAAGAAGCGGAAGCAGCGATACAGAAAGAGATGGACAGACTCCTGAAGGAGAAGGAAGAGGAGATGAGGATAAAGATCGAGATTATTGAAATAAGACACAAGGAAGAAATGCAGGCCATGACGAGAAGGATGGAGCAGCAGGCGGCAGAAGCTGAACTGGAGCGGAAACAGATGGACAAACAGCTGAAAGACATGCAGGAGGAGATCAACAGACTTTTGCAAGAGAGGAGGCAAGCAGAAGAAACCAGAGCTCAGGAAGACTCACAGAAGAAAAGAGAAGAAGAAGATCTGCAAAGCGAGCTACAGCAAAGACTCCAACATTTGCAGGAAAAGCTGAGAACTGAGTCCGAATCAAAGGAAACGATTCATAGAGAGCTGGAAGAGTGTCAAGAAGAGATGAGACTTCAGCAGGAAACCTGGGAGAGGGAAAGGATGGATTTAAGGGAGAAAAGAGAACAAGAGGACCTAAAGAAGCAAGACATGCTCAGAAAACTGCAAGAAGAGTATGAGCAGGAGAGAAAAAGATATGAAAGTAAAAGAAAAGAGGAGGAAAAAGTCAGAAAAGAGGAGGAAGAAAGACAGCGGCAGGAGTTACAGGAGAGACACGACAAAGAAATTCAGATGCTACAGAGGGAGGTCAGAAGAAAAGCAGAAGAACACAACGAGTTCATGGAGACAAAGGACAGAGAGTTTGCAGCTCTGATAGAAAAACACATGGAGGAGGTGAAGAAAAAGCAGGAGGACTATGAAAGACTTAAAGATCTGTCAGACCACAAAGAAAAGAGGCTGGAACAAACACTGGACGAAATGCACAACAAACACAAAGAAGAAATGGCTACTCTGGTGCTCAGCATTCTGACTCAGAAGAAAGAAAACAGGAAACAAATACAATCACTGCAGAAAACTCAAAGCAAAGAGATGGAGAGCCTTATGAAAAGCCTCTCAGTGAAGAACAGGAGGAAGGAGGAGGAGCAGACCAGAAAGTTGAAGGGAAAACACAAAGAGGACATGAAAGAGTTCAGGATGCAGCATTCAAACCTGAGCAGAGAGCAGATGAAACTAAAAACCCAGAAGCGGACCATCGAACAGGAACAGGAGTTAAACAAGCTGAAGCTGGAGCTCCTGAATCAGCACCAACAGAACTTGAAGCAAGAAGTAGAGCAGCTGCAGAGGAAACACGAGCAGAAGCTCCAGGAGCTCAAAAGAAACCTTCTGGAGGAGAACGAAAAACACATGAGGGAACAATTAGACAAACTGCAGGCCAGACATGAAAAGGAAACCAATGAGTTGAAAGGGCAGATGTCACAAAACGAGGAGAACTACGCCGAACTGGAGGAGCTGCAGAGGAAACATGAGAAGGAAATGAATGAGCTGAGAGGGAAAGTTCTTTCCAGGGAGGAGAAGACCTGCCTCGTGTCATGAAGACACCACCTCCTCTAAGAGCTTATGTGGAGCTAACTCATCACACCACCTCCTTTTAAGGGATGATGTGAAAAATGAAAGAACAGAGAGCAGAAACTGAAAAGTCTAATCAAATACTTCCTACTTTTTTCTCTTTTTGACTCATTGGAGATGTTTAATAGTAAAGGACTTATCGTGATTGATTGCTTGTAGCGAGATTTTCTACATGTTTTCCTTATGATTGTCTCCATTTTAGTTGGTGTTAGTTTGTTTCCTACCTTGACATTTATGAACGAATGTTTATCATTATTGTTATTTTGTGTTCATGCATGAATAAATTAGAATTTCATGAAAAAGTTAACATTTTAAACCTTTTTTCTAAATGCTGCTTTGCCAATCTGCTGCAAATATCACTATGTTTATGTATTTGTTTATGCAATTTAATTCCTTTAAATCCACTGAAAGTGTTTTCTTTATACCATTTACACGTTCAGACTGGTGTTTTCAGACTTGAGTGGGATTGGTCAGTGAGGAAAATATAATATAATCAACAGTCCACATACAATCACTAATTAGAACCAGGATTTGGTTTATTGTTTTACTGATTTATTTTATTTATTAATACATACAAGGAATTTGATGTTGTTGTGGTGCAGAACATGCAACATATACAAGGAATACAAAAATCAAGATAAAACTTTTTTAAAGCATATTTATAAATGGAAAGCAAAGATAAATATAAGTGTGACAAGATAGACTAAATAAACATAAACTTATTAGGGGGGCCAGCTATTACTATTGTACATATATATTCTGTGCGCCGATCTTTGAAAATTACTTTAAAAGTCACACAGAAACACAGCTATCTACCAACCTCGCAATACATTGCTGCATAGGTCTATTTCTCAGTTTTCAGCCAATATGACTCCATTGTGGCTCCAACGGTTTTCGGTCAGTGGGCCCCAGAGCTCAGCCAGATCCCTCCAGCTCTGTCTCTAACAATGGTCCTCCTCAGTTTCTCTCCTTCAGGCACCCTCATAAGCACAAGACATTGCTCTCAAAAGCCTAAATGTCAATCCTGTGACCTCGCCAGAGGCTCCTAGACCCATTTTGAGGGGCCCAGCCCAAAAGCCCAGGTTCCTGGAGCAGGCAGTAGATGCTCCCCCTTCAAAACTTCTTTAGAAATGTTCCAGTTAGGGGTCACTGACAGCAGCAGGCCCACATGTTACTATTGAGTAGATTTATTCAGGGACTTATAGTTCTCCCGTTTCCGTCACAGATTTTAGCGCTTAATTAGTCCCGTACGGTTTGACGGATCGGACCAGAAAAAGACACACGTGTCCGAATTGATCATGGGACAATTGCTTGTATTTTTCTCTCTCATTAGTCCCGGCATTTTTGAATAAACGGCAAAAAAGATGAACAGATCTCTGAATCAATAAAAGAAACTTTGGCCGGAGGTTAAATTATTAGGGAGCTCCAATAAACACAGGTTTCATGGACTGACGGCAAAACGTTTCCTTTGAATGGTTTTACATTTTTTTAGAACAGTGTGACACAATTCAGGCTCTATGGAGATAAACACTGAAAACATTTTTACTTTCTGTTTTAGCTGCTCAACACAAACCTGTGAACACACTCAAGCTAATCAGTCATAAAGTTAACCATCTCATTGTTTTAGGCTCAGCCAAGCAGCAAAATGAATTGTGACAGTTTGGGTCTGATTAAACTACAGATCCCCCAGCTGCTCATGTATTCCTCGATGGGAAACAGCTAGCGTTTGTGAAATTTTCAGGTAATATCGCATAGAAGTTATTATATCCACATGTAATTTATAATGTAAAGTGGGGCTTTAATGGAGACTTTTCTGTTAAACTATTGCAGAATTATGTAACTATGTGATTTTCTCATATCAAATTTTTCTTTTTTGAAGTATGTGAAAATGATCTGAAGTAGTTGACTAACACACAGACTTCTGATCCCTGCAGATAGCTCTGGTCATGTCATGTACTTTTACTTATTTCCAGCTGTTGTTAACTTTGTAGAAGGAACCAAAGACATCCAGGAGCTCTGTCAGAGGTTTGGAGGAAGATATCTGTTTTTTGACATCAGTGACGGGCAGAGGGTCAAAGAGCTGCTGCAGGAGCTAGAAAAATGTAAAGTGTCCCAGTTTAAGCTCAAAACGAAAATGGCCTATGCTGGTAGGTTCATCTCTGTGTCTCTTTACTTTTGCTCCGACTCCACTTGTTCACACAAATTTGACTGAAACCAAAAGTAATTGAAGTCTCTTATTGATCTGGTTGAACATCCTTATCCATCTCTGAGGAAAGAAGTGCTCGAAATCCCAAACAAAATAAATACTAAACTGAAAATAACAGAATATGATAAAGAAACAATGGGGCAGGGAGCTTTGACCCATGAGGAGTTTTGAAAATGCCATTATATGAGGGGAAATCTGAGTGAGAAAGGCCAGTGTCAGCAGAAAGAACTGATTACTGTCACATTAGCTGGACAGAATCATGCTAAATGAATTCAAACTAAATGTGGGGTTTTGCCCTCACAAAGAAGTAATTTATTGATTTTAGAATTTCCTAAATTGGTGCACATGTCCCTTCAAGTATATAGTAATCATATATATATATGTGTGTATGTGTGTGTGTGTAGAGAGAGAGAGAGAGAGAAAATAATGGTCATTCTTAAACCCAAAAGGGAGAAATCTCATTATAACAAAGAACGAATAAAACTGAATAGATAAAGATAAAATAGGATTAGAAAAGAATTGAGCTAATTAATGTGAGTTCAGAGGCGTGATCCTGCTGTTCTGGGAGGGTTCTGCCTTTTTTCTGTCCACAGAACCGTCGTTCCTCTGACAGATTCCTCTGAAGGCTGCAGGTCTCTGCATGCTGCTGTCAGGAACCACATGAGCAGAGGATTCCCAGGCTTCCTGTGAGATCTGCACCTTTTTTGGTGCTGGAGCTCCGCTGCATGGCGTGGGCTGGCTCCCCGACAGGTCTGAACCGGCCGGGGAATGCGCCGCTCCCCCCGGACCCCCAGCGCCTCCGGGAGCCGGTGCTGTGCCTCAGAGGAACCGGGTCCTGCACAGGGGACTCTGGCACGCGTTCAGGGTGAAAAGCTGTTTCCTCCTCCATTTCCCAGCATTTTTAGGCTTTGACAACATCCCGCTGGTCTTAAATTCAGAAAAATATGAAGACGTTGTCTGTGATGGAGTCTCAGCCTTTCACATTTCAGACACTGTATCATCTTAAATCATCCAAAACATCAGTCGTTTTTCACTGTTTTCTACCAGTTTGGAGGCTTCAGCTGTTTATTCCTGTAAATAAACATGTTTTCTGTAAAGAAATGTTGTTCGAAATAACCAGAAATGTCAAATAAATCTATTGTAAAAGGCATTTTTTGAATCTCTGTTCTTGGAGCATGAAATCTGAAGGTTGAATGCTCAGAAACGCCTGTTCTTTTAAATCTGTGCATGCTCTGTGTTCTCCTCCCTGCATGCTGGTAAAGTGAAGATGCAGATGCATGAATGGATGGAATAAATGCACCAGAACGCCCCAGTTAATGGGAATGTTTCCCCAAATGAAAGCCTGAGCTTCAGGCCTCCGGCCGGCCCTGCTGAGGCCGACCTGCAGACGCTCTGATCTGACAGGAGTCCGGAACATTCTCCGGGAGCTCTGCAGCCGTTTGCTGGACGGATCCAGGTTTGGCCTGAGGAAACTTCACTTTGTACCAAAGGGAAGCGGTTCTGTGCTGACCCTCCTGAGAGCCTGTCCGATGTGAGGACGACTTTTTACCAGTTTGAAATCTAAAGGAAAATGCTTTTAAACATTTTACACAAATCATGTTCTTATTGTGGAATCAAAATGTTGTAAATGAGTCGTTTGGACCCTCAGAACCAAATTTTTTAGTAAACTTTTAAATGCATAAATACACATTGTAAATAAATAAATATAAACTACTGCAGAAAAACTACCTGAACCAGGACAAAGTCTAGTTCTTAAACTGATCAGCTCCTCCTGATACACAGATCTGGACCAGAGCAGAAACCAGGTAGAAGCTCTGGCTCTCAGCAGGTTAGAGACCTGACTGAGAAAGTTCCATTTTCATGATCGTCTGCAGATTAAATGACTTGACTTAAACTTTATTGATCCCCGAGGGGAAATTGAGTTCCAGTACAAGCCGTACAAAGATCAAACAAACAAAACACATAGACACACCAGTTTGGGAAAACCGTGGGGGCAACCACACTCCGTAGCGCACCTTTTTTCTTCAGAACAAAGATATATCAGGAAAGGGGTTGCAGGAAGAGGGAAAAAAGGCCCAGTGCCACGCCCCCTACAGGGGACTAACAGTGATGTAAAAAACACCTCAGTACACTAAAGCACAGATACAGTCAAATCACAACATCCAGGACACATAGGGAGGGAGGGATGGGGGGGGCAACAGCTAGGCAGTGAGTCCAAGGAATGCATGAAGTCTGTACTTGTGTGTGTGTAAGTGTAACATCCACAGGTTAGATGGGATCTGTCCTAGTGATGCCCAAACTCCTGCTTGGGAAGGGAAGAGGGAGGGGGGTGTGGGGGGCAAAGCGTCGGTCTGTAGTTCCATCCAGGGCAAAGTTGCAGAGCAGCAGCTTCAGGCCTCTCAGGAGGCCAGATTGAGATAAGAGAGATAGCTTTGTTCCAGACAGAGCGTGTTTTGTCTGCCTTAAGTCCTCAGCCGGTCTCTCAATGGCGATTCCAATTGAGCTGAATTGTGTTCATTTCCATCCATCCGAAAAACCAACTTCTCCAAGGTGTTCCTTTGGATTGAAGTCATTTCTTGTTCTAAACACAAACATGGATGAATAAAAACGTCCCCTGAAGCTTAGATTCTTCTTCTTCTTCTTTTTTGTGGTTTTTATTGGCAGGTGACATCTAACGTTAAGATGTATTATGAAGCTTAGATTCGCTTTGAAACAGTTTAGTTAACTCTTTCTGCACCTTTCACCCGTCTGAAAAGCAGCCAATCAGAGAGCTCCGGCTCACCTGTTGCTCTCCGCGCGGTTTTTTAGGGCTGAGCTTGACGGACGCCTTCCGCAGCCAATCAGGACGCGAGCCGGCAGGCCCCGGTCACCTGGGCCAATCAGGGCTCCAGGTGTGAGATTGTTACCTTTTATGGAGAACGCCAGCTGTCTCTGGAGCGCGATAAAGCCGGCGCGTGCCGGCGGACCGGGCACAGCTGGGACTGACAACCACCGACCTGCAACAGGTAAGAGGCTCGAGACTTCAGACCGGAGCAGGAACAGCAGCCCCGTGCGCGCGAGCGGAGGACGTGGCTGGATTAGTCTGAGAAGTCCTTCTAAATCGTTTTAGGAATGTTTTCGTTCTTGAGAACGCTGCGTAAACGTGTCTGTCAAACTAGTTTAAAAGTTTTGGCTTTGAAAACTATCGTTAAAGTTCAGCAACATTTATGGGAGTTCTTGTATTGAATTGGTAAATCTCAGCTCATTGCTCTTCATCCTGACCCTAAATTGGCCCTTTGAAGCCTACATTAGAGCCTCTAACGCTGTCCATCATCTATCGGCTGCGTCCGTATTTTGGAAGGAGGCGAAAAACTTCTGAAAAGAGGCAAATATTACGGCTAATTAAGTGAGGCCCCACCCCAGATGCAGCATCTGGAAACCGGGTGTGGTTCGGGTCCAGGACTGACGGTTGTGGAGTGCGTAACGCGCGGCGCGTAACGCGCCCAGTTGGCCCGTTTCAGGGTGGGGGGGTGGGGGGTCCCGCCCCGCTGACAGACTCTGTGTGCTTTCAGACATGGATGAAGACGTCGCGGCCCTCGTAGTTGACAACGGCTCCGGCATGTGTAAGGCCGGCTTCGCCGGGGACGACGCCCCCCGCGCCGTCTTCCCCTCCATCGTGGGCCGCCCGCGCCACCAGGTAGGGCAGGCCGGCCCCGCCCGCGTCCAGCTGAGGGCCGCGCGCGGCTGACCGTGCGCGCGTGTGTGCAGGGTGTGATGGTGGGCATGGGCCAGAAGGACAGCTACGTGGGGGACGAGGCCCAGAGCAAGAGGGGCATCCTGACCCTGAAGTACCCCATCGAGCACGGCATCGTCACCAACTGGGATGACATGGAAAAGGTGGGTGCTCCCCCACCTCCCCCCCCCAGGCCGGACTGCAGGGGGGGATAACGCGTGCACTGTGTGCAGATCTGGCATCACACCTTCTACAACGAGCTGCGCGTGGCCCCGGAGGAGCACCCCGTGCTGCTGACCGAGGCCCCGCTCAACCCCAAAGCCAACCGGGAGAAGATGACGCAGGTGAGTCTGTGAGAATGTGCAGCTTTTAGTAGTTTTCAGAGCTTTTGTTTACGCAATAGTAACCCAACGCATAACCCCAGGGGCCACCAGTTTGGCTTTCTATGCTCACTGGATCATGAATGGCAATTAAATGCAACACAGTGTATCCAAATGTGTTTCCTAAAGTGCTTCTGATGTTTTTTTTTTCTAGTAGCCTGCTCTCACAAAAGCATAACAGAACCCTGAAGTGATGGTTTTAGGGGCCCCGACTGGTATAAGTTGTTTCTGGAGGCCCCCAGTGACGCACATGAGCAGACTTGAATAAAAACGGACACCGTTTGCCTTTACCATGCTGCACTATAACTGCAATAACTTGTGCAATTAATATATAAATATTCATAAATGTAGACAAGTCCCCTTAAATCTGTTTAGTTTTTCCGATCCACTGTTTATATGCATATGTGACGCGCTGTATGTACCTCATCCAACTTTAAGAGCTATCTTATGTTATCAGGTTTACATAGAATCTAAGTCAGGGGTGTCCAAAGTGGGTCCTGGACGGCCGCTGTCCTGCAGGTTTTAGAGGTTTCCCAGCTTTTTTCCCCAGGTTTTTCCAGAAAGCTGATTGTCATTTTGATGATAACTGTAAAATTGTGTCTACTTTGGGAGTCCCTTTGGAGAAAAGCATCTAAATGTAAAACCAGAGTTGATCTAGACTCGGTCCAGCCCCCCAAACCTGTTCCTAAAGCCCCCCCCGTCTGCCTCAGATCATGTTTGAGACCTTCAACACGCCGGCCATGTACGTGGCCATCCAGGCGGTGCTGTCGCTCTACGCGTCCGGGCGCACCACAGGTGAGGTGGGGGGGGGGGTCAGAGGGAT